ATATACACGCATTCCTTACACTTGTCCTGCTTTACTTGTAGATATGCACCAAATATATTTTTTTGTAAGTAATTTCGTAGAGCGCTCACTACCGACCACAACCGCCTGCACGCTTCTTAACAATTACAGCGACAAATTTCTCTTGTTGCCGGGCTCATTAATAAATATGAAGCGCACGTACCGCATCCAGTCGACCCAGCAGCGCTATTTACTATGACACATCCCTGTATGCGCTCCCAGCACACCCCCTCTCGTCGTTAGAGCGAGCATCAAGCTAAATACAGCAATCGATATCCTTACTCGCGTCTCACGCTTTATGAAGCCACGTGTAGTTTACTGGTGCAGGCAAACGCGCAGGGAGCTAGTTAATGATTCATAGTCCGGTGGTGGAAGAGGTGAGGGATGCACTCGTCGTGTTTAACAAGTACGGCACCTTTCGCGCGTAAAAACCACGCCTGTATTAGACAGCCTGGAAATGTGTATCAGCATAGTACAGTTGTATGCGCATCTACGCGCCGTGTTCAATATAGAAATCCGCTAGACCGCTATATTTGCTTTAGCCTTTAACAAATAATAGAATCTCTGCTGTGGTTTGTTTGTCCACGCAGAACAATGGATGGCCCTAGGATTTTCCCCAAGGAGATTACGATTGGCGTCGCCTAAATTTCGCTTCGTTAAGGGGATTTCGCATTCATGTCTAAATAGTCACCAAAAAGCAACCGGGACAAAGGCACAAACCGTGCGTGCGCGCAAGTAAACGCGAGCGAGCTCTTACTGTAAGTGCATGCTCGATTTTGCGTGCCCGTGGCGCGCAAAACGCTAGACGCTAAATAAAACCCTAACTCTACCCGTGTAGCCTCCCATTCGCTCCGCCACGAGAGCCTTTCGCTAAATATATATGTTCACAAACAAAATGTACTACGGCTACGTTGCTCACTTCGCATCGGTGTGTTTTCACGCAGAATATGCTCAACCGGAGAGCGTTTAGCGACGTCTTTCCGGACTCTCCGCGTGGCTCCCGGCGCAAAGAGGAAGCGCGACAAGCGGAGTTCCTGCAAACCGGACAGGTGAGTATGGCGGCGCACACGCGACGTACGTCCGCGCGACAGCGGTGCACACGCAACGCACGTCAGCGACAGCGTCGCACACGCGACGCACGTCCGCGCGACAGCGGCGCACACGCGACGCACGTCCGCGCGACAGCGGCGCACACGCGACGCACGTCCGCGCGACAGCGGCGCACACGCGACGCACGTCCGCGCGACAGCGGCGCACACGCGACGCACGTCCGCGCGACAGCGGTGCACACGTGCCTGTATTACGAACGCTGATCGGATGTTGGCGAGCCACATATACTGCCACAATATCGGCGTCACGTAATCGGTTTGTGCAGCGTCTCTGTATTACGTATACGCGATCGCCGTCGATGATAAATGAAAGCGGTGCGTCATTAGGGCTAATTACCTTGGAGACAATTCTGGTCAGCTAGTGACGAACAGATATAACTTAACATATTATATACTGAAGTATGATGTTACAAAAACGTGGTATTGTCCTTAGGCACTGAAGCTGGATACAATAATGAGAGGGGATGCACCGACCAGCCTAGCGACAACCGGACTATTTCGCCGTGAGGTTCGAGCTGCACGACTATTTCCTCGTTGGCGACCCCCGCGTCATCTATGTGTCGAGCGATTATTCGTTCGGAAAGTATTTACAGGAAGCGGCGCTGACAGTAAACGCGCACTTAATACTCCAAATTACGGCCGAAATATCGTCGAAATTACCCACGAAATGACGGCGATTTTCGCCGGATAATATCTGCGCGGAATTATGAGAAAGGCGACAACGGAAAATTAATGCTGCCGTGTTGCTCGCATCGCTGATTATTGAAAGCTCCACTTGTCTCCGACTCGTTGCTTTTGGTATTATGGGAGTGGGGAAAATTATTTCCCATATTCGACCACACGTACCAGAGAGTCACGTGTATAATCGTCCACCGTGTAAATCGGCAGATGTTGTTCAGAGAAATTACTAAATTGCTAAGCTAAATTGTTATTGCAAGTGACAACAAATATGATATGTTAACATAAACATTCTTGCTAATTTTTCCGCGTGCTTCCGTGCTCCGCGTGAACAAGATTTTCTTGACACACGGGTGAAGTGGGGGGGGGGCCCTTTGCGGCGTCGTTTTTACATCAAAGCGCATAGTTTTCATCAGAAAACAAAATTGCAAAAGTACAACCTTTTTCAATCAAGAATTAAAAGCCCAACACTCATCGTCGCCGTCATAATTTTTTTTGCAGCCGTGGGAACCTCACTGCATCTATCCGGATTTTCCGCACGAGGTCGTCTGTGGCGATTCCTGGGGTGAGTCGATGTGACAAACACAATCCTGTATTAGTCCAGTCAATATATGAAATACCCGGAACAAATTGCAACAGTACGTTTTATTGTTGGAAGTTGTTGATTAGACCCTCCTAAACTTCATATGCAAAATCGGCCAAAATCGGACCACGGGAAACTGGCTAATTAGCCTAAATCCAAAATGGCCGCCAGTTTCAAGTTTGAGGCTAGTTTGTCCTAGATAGTAGGGCCTACAGGAGCTATGAGCCAAAAATCAGATGAATTAATTGTGCACTTTTGGACAAAAGCATGAAATTTGGCATAACGGTAGTTTAAGATATGTGCATTTATATGAGATCGGGTACCCATCTCCATCGGTATGGTATCTGGGCGCCATCTTGAATTTAAAAATGGCCACCATCAAAATCCAGTATCTTACATTTTTCAACTAATATTCAACATAGAAACAAGATTTTTGTATCTAAACCAACATTATCGGGGTCAAGAAACCCATTACAATCGAAACCATTATCGGTCGGTGAACGCCATCTTGAATTTCAAAATGGCCGCCTATCAAATTCGTAACCATATCGTCATAACATAGATATGACGCCATTACATGCGAATTTCAATGGAACGGCTACACCGACTGCTGGACACTTTACTCATTATATCGCTGACAATGTTGATCACAACATACGTACTTTGGACGGCCGAGGTACCTTCCAAGGAATGGGCATAATTCTTGCTTCAACCCCAAGACTCGAACAAAAACATGCTGTACCAAGAATAAACTTGCCAGAGAGTGGTTTACCTGATGCAATATTTGTGGTCAAGTACTACAGAGAAAATGCTACTACAGATGTTCAGTTACTGTATAGAAAATTACCAATTATCAGTGCAATTAATGAACGCGACTGCGGGAAATATCTTGGCCATTGAAATCAAATCGGCCGGTTTGGTCGGGTATGATGCAGGCAATTACAGATGGGGTTTATACTGGAAAGGCTTCTATCCATTTCCTTCTAATGATAGATATGGACCCATCTGTTTTGAGTTACATCTTTTCCACTCTTTACTTTGTTGCTGAGGAAAATCAACGACATTGATCTGTGCCTGTCATCACATTTGATCAACCACTGTGGTGGAAGGCCAAGACCATATCATAACAAGGGAGAATAAAGGAAGTAACCTCAAGAGGATAGAGCTGTATTTGGGCGGATTTCACTCTATCATGAGTTTCCTTGGCAGAATCGGACATGTGATGAAATCATCTGGGCAAACAGATGTGTTGGACATTGTTTATGCGGAAAATACAGTGAACCACATTTTAACAAAAAAAAGCATATGCACGAGCAATACGTGGCCATCTTCTGGTAGATGCTTCTCTCAATGCCCTTGTGCTCCAAAAAGCATATGACATCTCTTTTCCTGCTGATAAATCAGAGATCAACAAAATACCTGACTTAAAGAAGGCTCTTGAGACGTTTGACACCCTTCTTGAAACTCTTGATGAGAAAACCACTGACCCTGCTGATGATAGCTTAACACAAGTAGCTTAACAGATGGAGGCAGAAAAGCACAAGATCAAGCAAAGTCCAACAGGCTGACTAAATTGTGGGTCCAATATATAAACATGGTTGATCCCCTGCGGTTATTACTCAAAGCCCTTCGCACAGGACACTTCATGCTCTACCTAAGTACCCTTCAGAAGATGCTTTCATTCTATGCCGCAACTGGACACTCCAACTACGCGAAATCTGTGTATATCTACATACAAGATATGTTGGATCTCAAACACACAAAACCAGATTTATTCAACAAATAGGATTCAGGATCATTTGTTGTCCGCAAGACTGATCGGTTCTGGGCAGGACTACCACCAGATCGAGTAATAGAGCAGGTGCTAATGCGATCATTGACGACAACCGGTGGTGCCTCACAAATTCAGAGAATAAGCAAGACTTCATTAAACATCCCAGTAAAAAAATGCATGCAAATGGAATCAGAACCCTCCAGGCAGATGCCGGCGCCGATTTACTCATAGCAAAGACAGCCATTGACCATGCCACAGCTGGGATTACACATTTCATTGGAGAAAACACTGACATTCTAATATTACTTTGTCATCATGCAGATCTATGTTCCAGAGGTCTATATTTTAGGTAAGAAACCCCGACAGCAAAGTATTTTATTTGGGACATTCGTTTGCTATGAAAAAGGCTTGGCGATAAGGCTTGCCGTGCTCTACCTTTTATACATGCCATTTCTAGATGTGACACTACCTCCCGTCTGTTTGGAATTGGGAAATGTACTGTTCTCAAGAAAGCACAGAAAGATGAGCTGTTCTTGAAACAATCACAAGTGTTTTCTTTGAATATGACTGCCGACAAAATTCTGGAAGCTGGAGAAAAAGCATTGATGTCTCTTCATGGAGGGTCAACTACGGACACCTTGGATTCCTTGCGCAAGAGGTAGTTTAGTGAAAATGTTCTAAAAAGTATCATAAGTGTGGATGTCTTCCTATAAGTTGACAGGACAATGTGACATTAATAGATGCAACCTGCAAGAAGCACGGATTAGAATGTACCATTGCATGTAGTAAATGTCAGGATGGAATCTGTAAACATATTTCGGTTGATTGTGATGCTGCGGACCCGGAGGACCTTGACTTGTGATTAGAACTATACTGTGTTACCTTGCTTATGACTGATGCAGACTGGTATAAATAGGTTATACAGGCTAGATTGATTCCTTTGTATCTTTGTATCCTTTGTATATATGTATATTTGTATATTGTTATGTATATTGTATATTTGTATATTTGTGTATCCATTTGTAATAATTTTGTATACACACCGTTGTGAAGGCGTCTTATAAGTAATTACATTACTGTAAAAAGTAAAAGTAAAAAAAATATGTCCACTTTTTTTCACAAAATGCAAGTAATTCTGCTTACTTTTTATGGTTAAATTGCTGCATTATTAAATGTTAAATGATAATGGATTTGAATGGCGGCCTTTTTGAAATTCAAGATGGCGGCCACCAACCGTTAATGGTTTCGATTGTAATGGGTTTCTTGACCCCGATAATGTTGGTTTAGACACCAAGATCATGTTTCTATGTTGAATATTAGCTGAAATATGAAAGATAATAGATTTGGATAGCGGCCATTTTAAAATTCAAGATGGCGGCCACCGACCGATAATGGTTTCGATTGTAATGGGTTTCTTGACCCCGATAATGTTGGTTTAGACACCAAGATCATATGTTTCTATGTTGAATATTAGCTGAAAAATATAAGATAATGGATTTTGATGGTAGCCATTTTTAAATTCAAGATGACGTCCAGATACTATGCCGATGGATTTGGGTACCCGATCTCATATGAATGTACATATCTTAAACTACTGTTATGCCAATTTTCATGCTTTTGTCAAAAAGTGCACAATTAATTCATCTGATTTTTGGCTTTTAGGTCTTGTACTATCTAGGGCAAACTAGCCTCAAACTTGAAAATGGCGGCCATTTTGGATTTATGCTAATTAGCCAGTTTTCCGTGGTCCGATTTTGGCCGATTTTGCATATGAAGTTTAGGAGGGTCCAATCAACAACTTCCAACAATAAAACCTACTGTTGCAATTTGTTCCAGGTAGACCAATAATTTTCATATATTGACTGGACTATATCTACTATCTTTCACGTCGTCGTGATTAATTTTAGCTGGGCGTGAGAATCACGTTTCGCGTTAATGTACGAGTAGGGTGATATGATTAGAACTGACTACTTGTTATCTTCCCCTTGATTAATTACAGGTGACAGACTGATAGTCGGTGCAGAAGGAGGTGGAATATTCCTTATAGAAGGTATAGCTCCTCTCTCTCTCTCTCGCTCTCTCTCTCTCTCTCTCTCTCTCTCTCTCTCTCTCTCTCTCTCTCTCTCTATCTCTCTCCCCCATCTCTCTC